TTCCACTGTAGCACAGTAACATATGCGTTCTTGCATACCACTATCACGCGCGACCACGTTCTTTTGAGGCATCAACCTTTCGCGGCCACCGCCACCCATCACCAACATCATCGTGAGATGACACCCACGCAGAAACAAAACACCGCACGACACAAAGGCCAAGCAAGAGTTGGCGTCGTGCAACCAAGCGATTATCAGCACATGATCGCCATTCTTCCCATCCCATCTTCCCTCCCCCTTCTCCTCCCTTCCTTCCCCTGCCCTCTTGCTGCTCGTTGCTGTAGTCAGCAGCACGGCTTGCTTCTGCATCCGCTGCTGTGATCCTTCGCGTCCTCACCCACCAGCCAGAGCTTCGGTGGTCTGATCGGCGAAGCGCAGCAACAACACCCGACAGCAACAACACCCGACAGCAACAGCGCCTCTCATTCATCCATCCCAGGCATCTATCCAAGCCACCCAGCCCATCCCAGCCTCGAGGCTTTGCTTCTTGTGTTTCCTTGTTCTTCCTCCTCCCACCCTCTGCGTGAAGCCAACGTCGCTCAGACATACACAGCACGCAGGAGTGAACCAACATGCGTATCCCTCAATCAACGCAGCTGCGGCTGCTGATGCTCACGATGCTTGCTGTTCAAGGTGAGCCTGGCTTGCCGTGCACTCCAAGCGAACTGCACGAGGCTTGGTTGGGTGCAGCTGTAGTGGTTGCTTGGTGTTGGTGTTCCTGGCCTTGCACGCGCGTTTGACTGACTGACTGGCTGACTGGCCGACTGACTGACTGACGAAGCGACCGTCACACTCGCTCACACTTGCTCTCACACCCACCCCCCCACACACACATGCACGTGCAGGTGCCGTGGTGTCTGCGCAGTCGTGCACGTCACACAACCAGTGCGGGGCCGGCTCCTTCTGCCGAGGGATCGACAGCCCAGACTCTTGCCCACTGTCCAGCGAATGCGAGCCCTTGCCCGCAGAGGGCGACCAGTGCCACGTGTACAGCTTGGCCTGCCGCTCAGACACGTGAGTCACTGACAGAGAGAACTGCATGAAGAGGGCCATGCAATGCGTCGGGGAAGACTTGGCTTGTGCTTGACACCACGCTTTCGTGTGTGTGTGTGTGTGTGTGTGTGTGTGTGTGTGTGTGTGTGTGTGTGTGTGTGTGTGTGTGTGTGTGTGTGTGTGTGTGTGTGTGTGTGTGTGTGTGTGTGTGTGTGTGTGTGTGTGTGCGTGTGTTCACGTACGCACAGCGCTCACCTCGACCTCATCCTCCGCCCTGTGATTTCGCCTTCCTTCCTCCTGCCCTCCACCTCGACCACCATCTCCCACTTCAGGTGCGCGTCTGCGGCCCTGACGTGTGTGCCCGGCATCTCCCGCTGCCTGGAGGTTGGCGCCATCTGCAACACCGACGGCGACTGCGGCGCTGGCAACTACTGCAGCAAGTGCTTCAGCACTGCATCAGGACAAGGTGCACGCACACTGCTCTCGCGTGCATCTGCGTGTGTGTGTGCATCTCTGTGTATGTGTGTGTGCGTGTGTGTGTGTGTGCGTGTGTACGTGTGCGTGTGCGCGCTGTGTATGCATGTGTGTGACAAGTCGTGTTGGTCGTGTGTGCGCGCGCTGTGTGACAAGTCGTGTTGGTCGTGTGTGCTGCCTGCCTCACCCTCGGCTGCATCGTGCATCGACAATCTTCCAAGCATTCTCCTCACCAATACCACCACCACCACCCACCCACTTGTCTTCACCCCAGGCTTCTGCCTGCGTCTGCCGGTTGCTGGCGAGATCTGTAACCGCAACTGCGCTGCGGACACGTGTGCACCCGGATTCGTGTGTGGCGGTGACTATCTGTGCCACGAAGAGGGCACAGAGTTCACCACCACCGCCTTCACCACCACAACCACCACCACGCCACAGGCATCCTCCGTCCCAAGCGTAAGTGCACACAACACAGTGTTTTGCGAGTGTGTGCGTTGTGTAGTGTGCGTTGTGTCGTGTGCGTGTGTCGTGTGTAGTGTGTGTGTGTGTTGCGTTGTGTGTTGTGTATGTACACGTGGGTGTCGGGATATCAAACTAATCCACATCTCACGCCATGAAACGCCCGGCTGTTTGTTTGCATTTGTGAACCACATGACAGTACTACTGCGCCAACCGCCCCTGCAGCTACGACGCAAGCATGCAGTGTCAGTGCGACGACGCGTGTGTTGACTACGGCGACTGCTGTCCAGGTGCACACACATCCCATTCTCATGCGTGAGCTGTTGTGCCGCGCCACCCCCCTTCATGTGTCATCACGTCAGCCACGCTATGCGTTCTGACGTTGCTTGCTGGCTGCTCTCTTGCTGAACTCATCATCTTCCCTTCTTACCCCTCTGCCTTCCACCATCTCCTCGTCTCCTCGTCTGTTTCCCTCCTCCTTGTCTCCCTCCTCACAAGATCGCGAGAAGGAGTGCACGGATGCGGGCACGACCGCCAACCCGGTCACAACTGCCGCCGACACCACAACAGACCCAGACGGCGTGCCTGCTTACTACTGCGCCAACCGCCCGTGTACTTACGATGCAAGCTTCCCCTGCCAGTGCGACGATGCGTGCCCTGGCTATGGCGACTGCTGCCCCGACCACGACGCCAAGTGCGGAGACGTGCCCGTGAGCACCACCATGCCAACCACCACAACCACCACCACCACCACTGATGCGGGCCCAGACACAACAACAACAACTACTGACAACGGCAGCGACACAACAACCACCACCACCACGACGACGACGACTGAGGGTGACACGACAACAACCGCAGACACAGGTGAATCAACGACAACAGGCGCTGTGCCGGACTACTACTGCGCCAACCGCCCGTGCAGCTACGACGCGAGCATGCAGTGCCAATGCGACGACGCGTGTGTCGACTACGGCGACTGCTGCCCTGATCGTGAGGACGCGTGTGGTGGCGGTGGCGGCGTGACCACAACCACGCCAGATGCACCCACCACCACGACAGACGCTGGGGTCGACACGACGACGACGACGACAACAACAACAACCACTGCTGCACCCGACACCACGTCCACCACAGATGGAGGCGTGCCTGCCTACTACTGCGCCAACCGCCCCTGTGGGTACGATGCGAGCATGCAGTGCCAGTGTGATGACGCTTGCACGGGCTATGGTGACTGCTGCCCAGACTACACAGAGGTGTGTGCTGGTGGCGGCTCCACAGCCCCACCGTTCACCACGCCGGACGGCACTCTTCCGCCCGGCACCGCGTGTGGATACAGCCAGGTCCCATATGGGGTGACTTGCGTGCAGTACGTGTGGGAGTCTTCGCCAACAGCTGCGCTGCCCACGCCGCCGCTGAGCCTGGCTGAGATCTCGTCTGTGGTGATTGGCCACTACATGATTGTGTTTGGCGATGGCGACCTGGGGACGCTTGACAACCGCAAGACGCTCGCATTCAACTTCCAGACCAGCACCTGGGACGCTGCCACCGCCCGCGCGGAGCGCCCGTACTGGGGCGACCACACCGCCATCGAAGTGTGTTTGTGGACACTTTTGTGTGTGTGTGTGTGCGTGTGCGTGTGTGTGTGTGTGTGTGTTTTTGTGTGCATGTGTGTGTGTGTGTGCGTGCGTGTGTGTGTATGTGTGTGTCGGCTGTTTCATGACTCTCACGCGATTGCTGTTGCTGCCTCTTGACTTGACCGCCCTTAACACAGGTGTACAATGGCGAGCTGTATGCGTTTGCTGGTCTCTGCTGCCAGACATTCTGCACCGGCTGTGGTGCAACGAGCAAGGTGAGCAGCAGCAGCAGTAGTAGTAGCAGCAGCAGCGCGGGCGAGTCCCCTGCACATGACGGCATTGATCAAGAACTAAGCTTTGCAATCTTCTCAACAATTCACCCCACCTTTCACACACACACACACACACACACACACACAACACACACTATTCACACACACACACACACACACACACACAACACAGGTGCAAATCTATGACCCTGTGGACGATGCGTGGCGCCTGGGCACGCCCATCCCCTGGAACGTGGACGGCGCCATGTCGTCATCCATCATTGACGGGAAGATTTACGTGTGCGGCGGACTGTGGCAGGACTGGCCCTCGCCAAAGTACGACACAGAACCAGCGAAGAGGGATGAAGGGGTGAGGGGGGGGGTAGTAGATGAGGATGATGGGGACTGTGCGCGTACATACAATTGTGAGAATGTGGCATGTCAGCATGTGTTGTTTCGCTTTTTTTTTTTTTGTGTGTGTGTGTTGTTTGCGTGCATGCGGTCGTGTGCCTGTCATGTTCCTTCGTGTTCTCACCGTGATGCCTGTCCACACCACCACACGACTGCTCGCCACCACCACACCAACTGCTGCAGCTGCGGCATCTACAACCCGGCCACGGATTCGTGGGCGCCAATGCCAGACATGCCCAAACCCATGCACCACACCGGCGCAGGCACTGGTGCGTTCAGAGAGGGATAATGAGAAAGGAAGGGGAGTGCGTGTATGTGTGTGTGTGTGTGGTGTCAAACATGTGTGTACACGTGTTCATTTGTTGCACATTCTGGCCCCATTACTGTCTACGACTACTCTTCTAACACACCACCACCACCACCAACACCACCACCAATACCACCACCATCACCACCAACAGATGGCAGCAAGTTTTACATCTTTGGGGGCCGTCTTGGCGGCAACGGGCTCAGCCAGGGCCAGGACGACGTGCAGATCTACGATCCAGCCACCAATACGTGGACATGGGACAAAACATCCGCCATCAAGAGCCTCCCCACTGGTCGTACCGGCATGGGCAAGGCGGCGTTTTTGCACGGCGAGTTTTACCTGATGGGTGGCGAGTACTTTCCCGACCAGGACCCAAAGGTTCTTCCCACGGGCGTGTACAACCTGGTGGAGATCTACAACCCAACCACAAACACGTGGCGCCAGGGTCCTCCCATGCCCACGGGTTTGCACGGTCTCCACCCCGTCATCTACGACAACCAGATTTACATTGCCGGTGGCGGCGATCATATTGGCCGTGGCACTTCAAAGGCATTCCAGGTGTGTATATGTGTGTTTGTGTGTGTTTGTTTGTTTGTTGTGTGTGTTTTTTTGTTTGTTTGTTTGTTTGTTTGTTTGTTTGTTTGTTTGTTTGTTTGTTTGTTTGTTTGTTTGTTTGTTTGTTTGTTGTGCAAGTGTTGTTGGCCGTACGTTGCTGGTTCGCTCGTCTCCTCGTGCGCATCTGCACTTTTCGTTTCGTTTCCACTGCTCACCCATCACCAACTTCCTGTTGTTCCCTCGCGTGCGTGCTGATCCTCACAGCGCTACAAGCCCTTCTGAGCACAAGCTCCCAAACAGTCTTCCCTTCCCCCTCCCCCCCCCCCCCTTTTTTCATCATCCATTGCTCCCATTCCTCTTCCCCCTTCCATCGTGTATATTGGACCTCCATCAAGCTCGCGTGTGGGCTCTGCTCGCCACCACCACCACTACTGCTTTGTTGCTGTGATGCTTTGTTACTATTCGCTCCTGTCTGGGTTGTGCTGCTCGTTCGCCTGATGGGATTGCATCTTCCCATCGTGCGTTGCTATTTCTTGTTTTGCCGTGTCTTGCGATTCTCTTGTATCTTGTGCTGTAGTGTTGCGATCCGTCACACCATTGCGCGTCATGTACCGCTCGTGTGTGTGTGTGTGTGTGTGTGTGTGTGTGTGTGTGTGTGTGTGTGTGTGTGTGTGTGTGTGTGTGGTCAATTGAGTCTGTGCTGTCGCTGGCTCAATCCATCCACGTGGCCACAACACGTGCACTATCACCATGGCAACACCAACCACAGGCTGCACTGCCATTCCTGCGGCGAACGCGCGTGTGAACTTTGTTTCGCCGTTATGTCTGGCGTTTGCCGCCTGTGTGATTGGGAACGTGGTTGTCTACTCCAACCTGCTTTGCTTCTTCTGCTTGTGTGTGTGTGTGTGTGTGTGTGTGTGTGTGACTGATAAAGTAACGGAACTGAACCACTCTTTTGCACACATGCCATAATGAGGGGAGAGTACGGAAAGGGAATGTGTGTGCTATGGCAGGTTATTGGACAAACAAGACAAAGGTATGCACTATCAACCCTCATCATCAACAGCAGCAGCAATGACAACAGCATGAAGATCCCTATCCGCGTTTCGCTCGCTTCGACGATGGCGGCCGGCCCCTTTATTCAAATACGCACACACCATGAACGCATGTGAGCACGACATGAGCCCGCGCACACACACACACACACACACACACACACACACATCGTGTTGCGGTCATCTCACCTTGTTTTGCGCTTTGACTCTTGTGCACCTGCGACGAGAAAGCAAACAACAACAACAACACGCACACACGCACACACACACACACACATTTGGATGCAGAAGCGTGAGCAGGATGAAGAACACACAGCAAGTGTAACGCAGTCATCCCAACGCACGTCCATGCGACCGACACCACCACCTTCAACACCACCCGCGCTCTTCACCTGTTTGTCCTTTCTTCTTCCGGCCGCGCTGTGATGCAGGCTGTAACGCACGCAGGCGAAACATGGGCATGTCATTGTGAGCATGTGTGTGTATGTGTGTGTGTGAGTATGTGTGAGTATGTGCGTGAACAGGCTGAAAATTGATGCAAGACAGAGCACACGCGGACACAGCCGCACTTGCAGCGTGACTCACCTTTTGCGCGGACGTATCCTCCTCGTCCTCCATCTCCAAGTCATCCGGCTCTTCATCAGCTGCAGGCACATACACACACACACACATACATACGTGCATGTGTGCAGCGTAGGGTGGATGCAGTTGAGCGATGGCGGCACGGGAGCAAGCGATGTGTTCCATTACACGACAAAGAGCACACACACACACACACATGCTCAGTCTCACTTACGGTCAAAGTCTGAAGGCACATCGTCGTCGTCTTCCTCTCCCTCTCCTCCTCCTTCCTCCTCCTCCTCTTCATCATCGCGCTGCTCCTTCTCTTCCTCAATGCCGTGCAACACCCTGACGCACAGCGTGATTGTGCAAGTGGAGTTGAGCCGAACAAGAAGCACGCAATTGGCACGAATGCAAACATCTATATGCGCACTCACGTATACACACACAGATACATACACACACTCACTCACTATCACACACACAATCGCAAACACATACACACACCCCATCGCAAACACACACTCACTCACACACACACACACACCCCATCGCAAACACACACACACTCACACACACACACACACACACACAACACATGTGTACGCACTTGAGCTCGTGTTCGCGCTCCTGCTGCTGCTCCTTCACATCGTCGTTGTCTTCGTCAACGGGCTCACCGTCCTCGTCCTCATCCTCTTCCTCCTTTTCGCCAAAGTAGCGCTGCATCTCCAGCCGCTGCTCCCCGCTCTCAAGCGTGCTGTCTTGCACCATCCCCACCCGGTCTGATCCCCCGTGATGGTGGTGATGGTGGCATGTGAGCGTTTCTGGACACAAGCCGCTTGGCTTCAGGCGAGGGCACAAATAGAAGACAGACAGACACACGTGCACACGCACACAGACACACAGACACACACATGCACACACACACACACACACACACACACACACACACACACACACACACACACACACACACACACACAAGAAAGTACGAAAACAGACACCCCCCCAACCACACACACACACACACACCTGACTGGTCTGGGATGGCGTAGACCTGGTCCTCTGCTGGCGGCTCAAACCCGTCCTCGACGTTGTCAATGTCGTCCTCGCCGTCCTGCTCAATGGACTTGACCAGGCTCACGTCGTTGGTGCGGCGCTGCCTGCGGCCAAGACGCGCGAGATCACGCGACTCCTCGTCGTCATATGCGGGCTCGTCCTCATCGGGGTTATCGACGAGCTTCATGCGCTCGCGCAGCTGCCGCCGCTCAAAGATCTCCTGCTGGCGCTTGTCCTCCAGCTTCCGCTCCAGTTTGGTGACGGTCATGCTCTTCTTCGTCATGAGCTCCTCGGCCTCCTCCTCCGTGAACGTTGTCATCTTCGGCTTGGCGCGCACCTCGTAGTAGTTGTCGGCCGGCACCGCCTGGAACACGCCCTCCTCCGCCCCGGGCATGACGAAGAAGTAGCGGTACCCAGACGACTTGCTGGAGCGCCGTGTGCTGACGTACTCCTTTGACTCGCCGTCCTCAAAGCACAGCTGCGCAGCCTCCCTGAGCTCTGGGTGGTTCTGGAGCCGACGCTCGTATCGGCGGCGGCGGGCCTGCTCCCTCTGCCGCGAGCCAAACTCACTGCCCTCGCCCTCGTGCACGTCGCGCTCCTCAAACAGCTCCTCGGGCAGCTGCTTCCAGAACTGCAGCGGCCGCGGCAGCCGGTGCAGGTTGGCGCTGGCGGTGGTGCCGACGAAGGAAAGGATGTGGCACTGGGCTGCGCCCATGGATCCCTTGACCAGCGTCATGGCGTCGTAGGGGTGGCTCGGGTCATCTGGCGGCAGCTCAAACTTGGGCCGCTCCGCCGACACCTCTGCTGTCTTGGCTGCGGCCGCAAGTCCACCGCGGCGGATGGCCAGCGTCTCCGATGCCGGCGCACGGTTGCGATCAAGCGCAGATGGGCCACGCAGGTTTGCCTTCATCAGCAGCCTCGACGTACCACCGTTGCCGCCATTACCGCCTGCTTTCCCACCGGGGCCCGAGCTGCCGCTCCCTTGCCGTCTCCTGTTCCGCCGGAACATGCCCACTGCACGTGTGTTGCTTGTGTGTGTGTGCGTGTGATGGGAAGATAGCGGTGGTGTCTGTTGGTTGGCGTTGCTGACAATGCACGCACTTTCTTCTTCTTCGTCTTCGTCTTCTTCCTTCTTGCTTGCTTGCTTTGTGCTTGCGTTTTTCGTTCGTGCCTCTCCACCGCCAACAAAACAACACAACACGGCTCAACTGACCGACTGACCAACAAGCAACCACAGCAGTCCAGACCACAGCAGTCCACAGCAGTCGAGACCACCTGCTCCCTTCCGCCATGTACAGGCGGGAGAGGTCGGGAAGCATCGGCTCCAACGCGTCTGTGTTCAGCACGGCGACGTTTGCCATGCCACCCCCGTACCAACCCAACAACTACAGCTACAGCAGCACCACCAGCCCCGCAGTGGCCCCGCAGCAACAGCAGCAGCAGCAGCAGCAGCAGCAGCAGCCGAACGGGCAGATGAGCGCAGAGCAGCAGCACGCGATGAGCCAGCAGCGGCGCATGCGCCGTCGCCACCACTCCCACTACAGCAGGCTCATTGCTGCGTCAGAGAACACATATGGCACCACGGGCGTCGATCCAAGCAGCTTTGAATCCGCCGTCACCTTTGCCTCCCCAGTTGCCATGGGCACGCCAGTGCAGAGCCGCATTGGCCAGCAGCACCTGCAGTACAACCAAGCACAGGCAGCCCAAACAGCACAGCAGCCACCACCCGCCCTCTCGTTTCACGAACCAACCGCACCCTCGCAGGGTGAGCAACAGCTGCAGCCACAGCAGCCGCAGCAGCCAGCCAACCCTGTGGTGGTGGCCGAAGGCACTGTAGCATCGTCATCGGCATCCCAGCAAGCCGCACAACAACACCCAACATCACAGCCACCGCCAGTGACAGCCGCACCAGCACCGGCTGTCGGTGTGAAGCAAGGGCCGCCAGGTGCTGTGGCCTCGCAGGAACCCAGCACCGTGCAGCAGCCAGCTGTGCTCGACCAGCAGCAACCCGCACCACCACCGACCACCACCACCACGATGGCGTCTGCGGAAGTGGAAACAGCAAGTACCGGTGCTCCCGCGCAAGACGACACCCTCTCTGTCACGCAGGAGACAGCTCGCCAGGTACTGTGTTGCCTCGTGGTTGCGCGCGCGCGCGTGTGTGTGTGTGTGTGTGTGTGTGTGTGTGTGTGTGTGTGTGTGTGTGTGTGTGTGTGTGTGTGTGTGTGTGTGTGTGTGTGTGTGTGTGTGTGTGTGTGTGTGTGTGTGTGTGTGTGTGTGTGTGTGTGTGTGCGTGCGTACTTGCAGGATCTCATTTTGCTCTGTAGCATCTCTGCTTTTGCCAGCCATCCCCTCACCAAATACACACACACGCACGCATATACACACATACACACACACGCATACGAGTGTGCAGGTGAACGAGTACTGGCAACACCACTTCCGCAAGATGAAGACGCACTACAAGAGCATCATTGCGCGCCTGCGGTCCAAGCATCCCCAGCAGCACACCCTGCCGGCCCCGGAGGACTCGAAGCTTCACGAGCAAATCTCCCACCTCGAAGCAACAACAAAGGTGCGCATGTGTGTGTGTGTATGCGTGCGCATGTGTGTGCGCGCGCGTGTGTGTGTGTGTGCGTGTTGTACAATCCTCCCTTCCTTGAATGGTGTTCTGCATACCCTGTGTTCTGAATATTGCGTCGAATGCACGCCCGCATTCACACCACCACCACCTGCACCTCCACCACCACCACCACCATCATCATCATCATCATCACCACCACGTTACACCACGCCAGTGTCTGCGTGACGAGACGACGTCACTTCGACGGCGGTTGGAGATTGCGCAGGAGAGCGCAGCGGAAGCAGCAGCAGCACGCGAGGAGGCAGAGACAAAGAGCAGGACGCTGCTGCAGGACCTGGAGTCCGTATCCGCTGCACTGCGCGATGCACAGGAGCAACAGCAACAGCAGCAAACACAGCAACAACAGCAACAACAGCAACAACAGCAGCAGCAACAGCCTGCAAGCAGCAAGCAAGGTGCAGGCAACGAAAGAGGGGAAGATGTTGCGAAAGTGAGACGGGCATTGGAAGAGGCGCAGCAGCAGATCGCCGCGCTCCAAGCGGAGCTGACCCAAGCAAGGGAAACCCACTCCTCCCAGGAAGGACAGCTGCAAGCACACGTGCAGCAGCTGCAGGCGCAACTGCAGGCCAAGACGGAGGAGGCAGAGGACCTGGCACGCGAGAGCAAGCAGCGGTTCCAGCACATGGAGGGCCTTCGTCAGCAGCTGGCGATGACGCGACAGGAGGCCGAGGACGCACGTGGCGCCGCCGCCGCCGCCAAGAAGGAGCTGGAGGACATGACGCAACGCGCTGCGCAGGACCAGCAGTCCGCCACGTCGAAGCTGCAGGAAGACCTCACCGCCGCGCAGCAGTGCGTGCAGGCATGGCAGACGTATGCTGCCGAGCTGGAGCAGAAGCACAAGGTGGACACAGATGCACTCCAGCAGCAGCTACAGACAACGCAGCAGCAGCTGGAGCAAGCACAGGCGCAGGCTGCCGCTGGTGCTGGTGCGAGCGAGCGCGTGTTTGCGCTTGAGAATGAGGTGGAGGAGTCCAAGGCCGAGGTGGAGCGACTACAGAAGCAGCTGAAGCGGTCGGACAAGCTGCACTCTGCGAAACTCAAGTCGTACGAGGCCGCCATCGCCACGCTGGAGGAGGAAATCAACACCATGCGCGCAGGGGCAACCAGCCCAAAGACCGACCAACAGCAGCAGCAGCAGCAGCAGCAGCAGCAGCAGCAGCAGCAGCAGCAGCAACAACAATCGCAATCACCACCACCACCACAGCAACAGCAGCAAAAGCAGCAGGAGGTGGAAAGTGCAGTGGACGAGGGGCAGCTGACACGTGTGCACCAGCGCCTGAGCGGGCTGCTGGAGGAGCTGATGATGGCACACAATGCACTCGTGGCCGCACACGCAACCACTACAGCAGCACACATCGCACCCATGTCATCTGCATCCAATCCAACGACGGCAACAGACAACGGTGCTACCAGCGGCAATGCCGGCGATGGTGGCGATGGTGGCAGCGTGCCGTGTGTTGTGGATGCGCTGCTGCAGGTGGCGGACGGGCTCGAGGACCGCGTTAAAAGCATGCAGGTGTGGGTGGAGGCGGCAGAGGCGGCAGCCACCCGTGACCGCGGCGATGGTAATGGCGATCGTGGGGATGAGGATGACATTGGCGTGAGGAACGAAAGCAGCAGTGGCGCAACCGCAACGAACACCGCCCAGCAGCACCAAGAACTGCAGCAACAACAACAGCAGCAGAGTGGCGGTGGTGATGTTGTGCGTGTGCGTGAGCTTGAGGCCGAGCTCTCAGCAGTGCGAGCGGAGAACACACGCACGCGCGCATCGCTGGAGCAGGCGGAGGAGGGCCTTGACCACGCACAGCGGCAGCTGACGGTGCGCTGGGGCGAAGCAACACAGATGCAAAGCGAGATTGACGCGTTACAGGCGCAAGCGGATGCACTGAAAGGTGAGCTTGCGAACAAGGAGGCGGCCCACCGCCATGCTGTGGCCACGCTCTCTGAGCAGCATGAGGGCATTGAGGGCGAGCTGCAGAACCAGGTGCAGGAGCGAAGCGGGGAGCTCGAGGCAACGAAGGCGGCGTTGGAGGAGGCAAGGCAGGCACTGGATGGCGCGCGCGGAGACAATGAGCGCATGCTGGCTGAGATTGGGGGGCTGAAGACTGCAGTGGAGACGGCGCACACCCGCACGGCAGAGCTGCAACGCGAGAAGGAAGCAGCGGAGGCAGAGAAGGAGCGAGTGGAGGAGGAGGTGCGGCAGCTCAGGGGGGCAGCAGAGACGAGCACGCGGGAGGGTGTGGAGATGCAAGCAAGGGTGACGCAACTTGAAGAGGAGGTGAAGCGACTGCAAGGGGAGCTGGCTGCTGTGGAAGAGAGCAAGCGCACGGCCGTGGCAGAAGCAGAGGCAAAAGCTGCCCAAGACACGAGTGCTGCTGCTACTGCTGCTGCTTCTAACGCCACGCGCGTGGGTGAGTTGGAGGCAGCGCTGAAGGTGGCCGAAGAGGAGAAGGCAAGGCTTGATGAACGCGTGCAGGCGCTTACGAAGCAAGTGGACGACCTGACGGCAACGGTTTCAGCAAAGGAGCAGGAGGTGCAGGATCTGACGCAGGCGCACGAGGAAAGCATGACGCAATCGCTTTCGCAGAAGGAGGCGGAGTTGCGTCAGTCGTTTCAGGCGCACTACGAGCAGCAGGTGGCGACGATTCTGGAAGGTGTGCGGGCAGAGCACGCGCGGGCGCTGGAGACAGCGGCAGCGGAGAAGGCAGAGGTGGGGACACGACTGAACGACGTGCAAGGACAGCTGGAGTCGACGAAGGAAGAGGTGGCGCGGGCGAAGCAGAAGGAGGAGGCAGCGGTGAAGGAGCTTGCTGCGCTGCAAGCACAGGCCGAGG